TTTCAGTGTGCAAAGCAAGATTTAATTTAGAGTGAAAGAAGTCTCCTGTCTTGGAGACAAGCTCAAGGGAAGAAAGACCTGAGAAAGGGAAGAAAATCCTGACAATGGTGTGTTTTCTGCAACATCTCAGTAAAGGGGAACAGCTGAGTCAAAGGGTGGAGGGGGAACATATCTTGGGCAGTCTATCTCCTGGTCAGAAAGGTGTGCCTGGCAGCCCCCTTCTCTCATTCTTTTTTTTTTTTTAAGATTTATTTTTATTATTTTTTTATTGGAAAGGCGGATATACAGTCAGGAGAGACAGAGAGGAAGATCTTCCATCCGATGATTCACTCCCCAAGTGAGCGCAACAGCCGATGCTATGCCGGTCCGAAGCCAGGAGCCTCTTCCGGGTCTCCCACACGGGTGCAGGGTCCCAAAGCTTTGGGACCGTCCTCGACTGCTTTCCCGGGCCACAGGCAGGGAACTGGAAGGGAAGCGGGGCTGCCGGGATAGAACCAGTGCCCATATGGGATCCCGGGCATGCAAGGCGAGGACCTTTAACCACTTGCGCCATCGCGCCGGGTCCTCCTTCTCTCATTCTTAAGATAAGCTGAAATCGGGCCTGGCTTCGGATCGGCATAGTATCGGCCCATTGCGCTCACTTGGGGAGTGAATCATCGGATGGAAGATCTTCCTCTCTGTCTCTCCTCTCTGTATATCCGCCTTTCCAATGAAAAAATAATAAAAATAAATCTTTAAAAAAATATTAAAAAAAAAAAAGATAAGCTGAAATCTCAGGTGAAGAGAAAAGATTTAGAGGAGAAGTTAGAGTAAAGGGGTTTAGCTTGTTCTTTTTGCCTCTATATTTTGCTTGCTAAGAGTAGCTGAATAGGACATCTCTTGGTAAATGATTAAGTTCAACTAGGATTCAGGATACAAAGTACAAAAGTGGTCTTGAGATAGGCATCTCAGGAGGAAACAAGATAAAAAAAAATTGTTAGGAGACGGAAGGTCCCTGACTTGTCGATAGAGGCTCCAAAGGTCTGAGAAAAGCAAACTCAAGGAAAATTGCGATAAGAAATTGAAAGGAAAAGCAAAAAGCCCCTACTTTTATGATTATATGGTCTTAGCCTTTACCCTTTCTGTATGTAGTTTTAGCCTATAAAAAGAATGCTGTGTAGTGACTTGGGCCTGGAGTGCCTACCCTCCTGTGTGAGGAACTGGCCCTAGCCCCAGTGTACTGGTACCTGAATAAAGCCTCCTGCGTTTGCATCAAGTCTTGTCTTCGCTGGTCATTGGGGAGACTCACTTTCTCGACTGACAGTAAGGTCATCCCCGCTTCGGGGTGCCTTACACAGGTACCATCTCTTTGATGGTAACTCACAGGTTGGCGGGGGGGTGGGGGAGTTGGCTTTGGTATGTCTCCTTTTGTCAAGACACCAACTCCAAGTAATGGGAATTGGTATTCTGATTTTGGCCTTTGGCTTTCCCTCAAAGAGACTGGATAAAGCCAGGAAGAATGTGCCCTTGGGGAAGATTAAAAAAATGGAGAGAAGTAAAATTTTTTATTTTATAAAGTAACTTCACTGGGAGCAGAGACCCTAGCTACCTATTATCCCATCATTGTGAAACTGTCCACCTCTTTCTTTGATCTTGTGGCCCCTTCTGTCTTTGGTATTCCAGTTCTTTGGTATTGCGAGAGGAGTTAGACTGGGTAGTAGGCAGTTAGGGCATTCTGGGTCCCCAAGTCATTTTTTTCTCTCAAATATAAAATTCCCCACCATGTCCTAGATTCACCAAGGGACAAGGGTGACATTAGCATATCAATTCCTCACTTGAAGCCTCAGCCCCATTCTGTCTCTGGCCAGTGCCAAGTGCGAGGACTTCAGACTGGCCTCTTTATCATTAGAAAGGGACCAAGAAAGTTGGCCAGTGACACCTTTCTGGCCTTTAGTCCCAAGGCCAGGTACCACGGAAACCAGGAATTCTCTTTTGTTTCTGGAGAAACATCTTTGAGGGAAACCTTTACAAGATGCTTTCCCCACCATTAATAAGGGTCTTTTTTACTTTTCCTCCTGCCACTATGGCAGAGCACTAGGGTCCTTTCTATCTCAAAGCCCCCTCCCATCACTAGGACAGGAGTCTCCTTTCTCAACTTTTCTAATAAATCTTGCTTTAAAACTAAACTGTGTCTGAGCCCGGCGCGATGGTGTAGTGGTTAAGGTCCTTGCCTTGCACACCTGAGATCCCATATGGGCACAGGTTCTAATCCCAGCAGCCCTGCTTCCCATCCAGCTCCCTTCCTGTGGCCTGGGAAAGCAGTCGAGGACGGCCCAAAGCTTTGGAACCCTGCACCCGTGTGGGAGACCCAGAAGAGGCTGCTGGCTTCAGATTGGCTAAGTTCCAGCCGTTGCAGCCGCTTGGGGAGTGAATCATCGGACAGAAGATCTTCCTCTCTGTCTCTCCTGTCTGTATATCCGCCTCTCCAATAAAAATAAAAATAAATCTTAAAAAAAAAAAAAACTAAACTGTCCGCACGAAAATTCTTCTTTCCTGCGAGACAAAAATTGAGATTGCTGCCGTACTCGGGGTCAAAAACCCTACAACAGTATCAGTATTTTCTCATGTTAAACCCTGGGGGGGGGGGGGCGGTGTTTAACGGTTACGGACCCCGAGATTCGCCGCCCGAGAGCTCAAGAACCAGGTCAGAGGCTGCAAGAAGCAAGAGGATTTTATTGACGTTGGCGAACGGGCCCCTACTCCAATAGGGAGAGAGAAGCCCCGAATTCCGGGGGTACAGGTATTTTATAGGCACACACCACAAGCTTAACATACTTTTGTGGCAGGCCTTAAGTTTTATGGCCCATTCTATTGTCTATCCAGATCCCTTTCCCGCAGCCCGGGCCTGTTATAGTTTTATGGCCCTGTTCTGACGCTGACCCAGGATTACCTGGACCCATTTCTCAGGATAAGGAATTCGCTTGTCAGGAAACAGAAACCGAAACCCAGACCCCCTTCCTACAGCCCGGGCCTGCTACTGCCTTCTTCTTGTCTCTTATCTCATCTTGCCAAGCACATATAGAAGCCATGAAAGCATTAACCCTTTCTTTCTCTCTTTCACTCAGAAGTGGGCATTAAACATTGTTTTGCCTATAGCCTCCTTTAACCTGTATAGTTGTGGGATTTGTAATAGACTTGTGGTGGTAACTCATCTCTCTTGGACTTTATTTTCATTTGCCCTGTGTGGTTAGGAGGTAGGTACTGGAAAACACCTTCCCAAGCCAAATGCATCTCCCTCCATTCCCCCGGCTTTTCCATGTGAAGTGTGTGCACGGGGTTCTGTAACTATCTCCTACAGGCCCACGCCTATTCAATGGAGGAGGAAAGTCAACAGACTGCGATTTCCCCCTCAGGATGTGCAGCTGGTGAGATCCAAACTTGAGTGTCCAAGGATCCCCCAGGTCTTGCATATCTGAAGCCTAGGGTTCCCTGTTTACTTCCTCCTATTGTTATGGAAATAGAAGATAGGAAGGCTGTGACCTTGGTTCTGGTCTCACAAGAAACAATTTCCATTAGGCCATCACCCTGAGTAAAGCCAGAACTCTTTTTTTTTTTTTTTTTTAAGATTTATTCACTTTTATTACAAGTCAGATATATAGAGAGGAGGAGAGACAGAGAGGAAGATCTTCCGTCCGATGATTCACTCCCCAAGTGAGCCACAACGGCTGGTGCCCAGGTGTACTTTGAGAAAACGCAGTGGGGCTTTTGGATTGTAGCTGTTGCATCAGCAGTCAGCACCTCCAAGTTCTCTCTCAGTAGTAGAACTTCAACTCATTAGAAATGCAAATTTCCAGCCCCATCACAGGCCAATTGAATTAGCAATTTTGCAGGTGTTGCCTTTCAGCCCCTTTTGTTTTTTAAATTAAAAAAAAACGCATCTGAAAGGCAGAAATAGAGAAAAGACACACACAGAGGCATTGATTCCATCTGTTACTTGACTCCTCACATGCCTGTATAACCCAAGTACCTGAGCCATTACCTGCTGCAGGCCAGCGTTGTGTACCTAGAGCATATAGAAAGCCACAAAGCCGACTCCATTTTTTGAACTGGCTATGAACAGCATAATCTCACACAATAAATATAAACATGCTGAGCGAAGACCAGAAAGCTCACAGCTGCAAATAGTTAAAATTGCATTGTGGGCCACTGATGTCTGCACACACTGATAAGACCAGAAGCAGAGTTTGAGAAAAAAACAAGGGCGTGTCAGCAGCCAGGCCTCTGCCCCTGGCACCACCCCTTTCCAACTCAGTCTGAGGCCAAACCCAGTCGTGCTTCCTACCTGGGGCTGCACTGCCCTCACACAAAGCAGCTCACCACCCGTTGCTTGGCCTACTCCCTGGCTTTCAACTCCTTAACCCAGTAGCCAACCCTTGAGGTTATCACAACTGTTACCTTTTACCTACTTGTGGGAAACATCCCCAAACTCTGGGAAATACTCCCACCTGCCCAAACCGAAGGAACAGCTGGCAGCACAAGAGCAAGCTATGGAGCCAGACAGGAAGGCACACGGCAGGCAATCACAACAAGCAATTGATTTCCCAAATGAACGGGTCCCTCCCCCAGTCCTCATTGGCTGAGTTCTATTGGGTTACCATCTTCTGGAAGTTACCTACTTTGTTATTTTTGTGTGAGTCACTTCCCTCCACTTCCTCCTTGCTCCTGTTCAAGCTTCCGCCAAGCCGACCCTTCTACAATTATTATCCTGCTTTTCTCTAGGGGTTTTCAGGTTCCTGAACTTTATGGCCACCACATCCGCAAGCTGCAGCGCAAGCTAGCTAGCTGTCATGTTTCAATGGCAGCTAAGCTCTTTAAAAACAATCCACGCTTGTTTGCTTTTCGCACTACTATTTACCTGAACTGTGAATTCAGCGTGTCATTTGATTGCTTGGATTATGTGATTTGTCCCTGGGATTAAGGATCTGCCGCGTTTACTCACGGACACCTCCACGTTCCCTTAGGACCTGTGACTTCCTGGTGCTGATTTGACTGGGATGATGAGTAAAGCAGGAGATTGTGGAAAGGTGCAAACCTGACTATGGCACAGGAGTAGGAAGCTGGGACTCGGAGTAAGGTAAGACTCCAGCCGTGCATTCCAAGCCCCCAGCTGCTTCTTTTCTAGGATGCCATAACTTAATGCAAATCAAGAAAGAGGGCAGGGCTATGCAAACGCCTCGGCCTCTTTCGCTCAAGCCTTGTGAAAGAGCCGGAGCACACCCGGGCGGCACTAGGACCGGGAGCGAGGCCGCGGCGCGGTGGCGCGCCCGGGGCGGGGCCAGCGGGGCGGGGAGCGGGGCCTGGCTGCCCGGCCCGCCCCCGGAGGCGGACCTCACTTGACTTAAACTCCGGGACCGGGAGGCGGCCGCGTTCCCCCAACCTGCCCCGGGCCCGGCCGTCCTCCGCGTTCGCGGTAAGTGGGAGGCCGGGTACCGCGCGGAGCGGCGCGCGTCTGCCTTGGACGCTGCGCGGGGCGCTGGCGGCCCGAGGCTGCCGTGGGCCGGTGCTGGACGCTCTGGCGGCCCCGGGCTTTTGTTCTGCGGCGCGGAGCGAGCGGCGGCCGCGGGCAGCCCCAGGCCCGAGCCTTCCGCGCCCCCGGCCGCCCCCAGTTCACTGCCCCGTCGGGCCAGCGGGGCCAGAGCCATCGGTGCGGGATACGGGGCGGAGGGCGGCGCCTCCCGGGCTGCTTGCCTGCGCGCCGCAGCGCCCAGGGCGCAAGGGCCCGGGCGGGCGCTCGCTCGCGGTGCGGTGCCGGGAGGGACCGCTTGCGTCTGTAGGCGCTCTTGTGCTATGGAGGAAGAGAAATCAACAACAACATCGACCCGTCTTTTTTGTTTTGCTTTCCTCTTTCCTCCCGGCTCCGTGTAAGCTTTATGCGGGAAGCAGGCGCTTGACTCGTGCGTGCGGACGGCCCGCGGGCGCGCCTGTGCAGAGAAGTCCCGGACTCGGGGCGCTCCACTGGCCGGCGGGGTCAGCTATCTGGGATGCGCGCTCCCAGGCCGGCCAAGCATTCGCCAGCAGGAGTTGGGGGAGGGGGGAGTCATTGCAATGAGAACTCGGAGGGGAGTCCTAAGTGATCGCCTGCAGAATATGGGTGAAAGCCGGTGATATGTGGCAGAACTTGGTAGCTCTGGTTCGTGTTGGGAGTTGCATTCCGCGAGTTTACCCTCAACCCTCGCGCTCCAGTTTTATTAATGTAATAAAGAAGATCGCTAAGGTGTGCTGTTTCTATGGCAGACTGCTAGGACAGAAGTGGACATGGAGGAGTCCATGGCCTGTATCCTGAGCGAATGGCACGTTGAGTCCAGACCTAGTTCCCGTTTGTGTTTTCAGTATGCTGAATCCGTGTTCACTTTGACCGTGTTTTCGTCCTGAAGTTGCTCAGTCAGAGCAGGTGAACACATTAGCCCGCCGGGCGGGGTGGGGGCTGCCATTGATAGTAATTGTAGTAATTGTTATGCTCTCCCTAGGGTCCAGGAAGTGCAGGCACTGGAAGGAAATGGAAACACATTCACTAGTTAAAGAGCAAAGGTATACTTCAAGGTAAGTGGGTCACTGGCCACTGAGACGCCTGCTGTGATTCAGTCATGTAACCACTCACTCTCCTGTGGAGTAATTTATCTATGGTGGAAAAAAATGATTAACTCTGTGTGCACCAACCCTGGTTGAACATTAATGCGGGTGGTGCTGGCTGGAGAAGGACTGGTCCCTTTGGTGCAATACCGACAGCCATTGGTGTTGATGGTGCAACAGCTGTGGTTGATATTATTCAGGTAGAGAGAGAGTTGTTACCTGTTTCCAGCACAGGCTCAGTGATGCTCACCGGATCTCTGTCTTGCAACCATGGCCCGGAGGGGGAGGATGCTAGGAAAGAAGGCCAACTCATCCGGAGCTGGACTCTTCCACCTGCTGTACCACCCAGGGGGCGATTGGAAGGAGAACAATGGTAACATCTACCTCATGCGATTATTGAGACCAAAGGCATGGGGCGATTGGAAGGACAACGGTTAACGTCTACCTCATGGAATTGAGACCAAAGGCACTGGGCAATTGGAAGGAAGACAACAGTAGCATCTACCTCATGGGATTATTGAGACCAAAGGCTTGGGGCGATTGGAAGGACTAACAATAGCACCTAATTCGAGACCAAAGGCGTGGGCTGCGTACATAGAACACGCTTAAGCGCAGATCCTGGTACATACCAGTTCCCCGTAACTCTTAGCTGTCTTCATCATGGGTTGTATATCCTATGGCCTGAGTGTCTTGCAGGAAACTTGCTGTGCTCATTTAAGACACATTGACAAGTTTTGCATTGATTAAACCCGTCAGTACAATCCCTGTAGGGTTTTAGGATGGGAGGATGAGTGGTGTCTGATCGTTTTTGTTAGAAGTGCCAGTCATTCCTTGGCCACATCCGCTTTTGCCAGCACCCATGACACCCAGTTGCAAACAAAATGGCTGCATTGTATCCTGTGACTCCTTGCTGCTCTGCTGACTTCTGCAAGCAACCTGACAGGAGTCCCTCCTTTTGGTTATCAGTGTCTTTTACTTAGTAGTAGCTCCCCTTAGGGAACTGATCTAATCTTGTTTCTGTGAAGATGAATTGCAAGGATCTCTGTTTTGACTGCCTGGGCTAGCCTTCCGTCCACTCCTCACTATGTTCAAGCAGAGATTAAAAGCAAGGTCAGCCTACTAGGCCTGGCTATAGAAATGCAAGGTAAGAAGTTTGTATTGAAAGAAGAAAGAGATCTCTGCATCCTTGAGAAAATCCAAGTTCATTGTTGCCTTTGCCATGCCCTAAGCCCTTTGCAGATGGCCAACCAAGGCAGGAGGCCGAGCTCGCAGGTAAACGCATCTGCACGATGAGAACTGTGTGCTGCGTTTCTGCGCTTTGTTAAGACCTTCCAGAGTGATGACATCTTACATTCTCCTGAGATGTATCAGGTTACCAGGCTTCATTTATAAATAAACTCTGGTTAAAATTGCGGTGTGTGCTTAAAGAAATTGTATTGTCCAATTAAGACAGTACAGAAACCCCAAGAGGGGGAGTTGATAAGATAACATAATTTTGAAGTTCTGCTAACCTGACTTTCAGGTGTCAGTGGAACCAGCAGCAGAGTACTATCAGTGACCTCGGGCACTGGTCCCCTGGGCTGGTCCTCCTGCCCTTGGGTGGTTCTCCAGATATGTATCTTATCCCACTGCAGGCTGCCTGGAGCTTCTCTGCAGGGCGCTTTTTTTGTTTTTTAAGACAATTCTTACATGAATTCCCCCAGTTTATACCCAGTGAACAGTCTGGTGGGCTTTTAGAGCGTCACAGCCATTCATTACTGCTGTCACCAGAAGAACGTTTTCCTGCCCCCCCCCCCCCCCAGGTGGATTTACAGCTGGTGATGACCTAGCCTCTGCCACCACGCTCCTGCCTTGGCATCCACCACCGTGTAGTTTACTGTGTCAGTCTGCCTGAAGTCATAGAAGGCGTGATGTGTGATGGTCTTTGCCCTAGCATGATGCTTTCAAGCAATGTACATTGTTGTGTCTTGTGTATAAAGTCCAGCCAACTTCTGTTTGGGCTGCTTTGAGGACTCGTTGCTGAGTGTTCAGGGATTTGTAATTTGTGCTCTCCTGGGTAAGAACCCTGGACTGAAATTCCATGCCATGGGAGCCCTTGGCACTCTTGATGAACTACCAGATTTACGCAGAGCAGGTATACTATTTTCTACAATGGCCTGTGAAAGTTTACAAGATTTATTTATTATTTTTGTTGGAAAGTCAGATATAGAGTGAAGGAAATGGAAAGATCTTCCATCTGCTGATACACTCCCCAAGTGACTGTAACTGCTGGAGCTGAGCCTATGTGAAGCCAGGACTCTGCAGCCTCTTCTGGGTCTCCCATGAGGGTGCAGAGTCCCAAGGCTTTGGGCCGTCCTCAACTGCTTTCCTAGGCCACAAGCAGGAACCTGGAAGGGAAGTGGAGCAGCCATAATACAAACTGACGTGCATACAGGATTTCGAGTGTGCAAGGCCAGGACTTTAGCCACTAGGCTACTGCAGCAGGCCCTGTTTGTTTTTTAAAATTGATTTATTGAAAGGTAATGATTTTTTTTTTTTTTTAAATTTTTGTGTGCTTTTTAGAGTAGAGATTTCCCTGGTCTACCTGCCTTTTCTCCTTCCCCATTTCCCCCCCACACCATCTTCCCCACGTTATTGCAACAGTTTAGTTTTCAGAAATAGTCACCAATACAACGTTCTGTTATTTAAGTATATCATGATATTCTAGGGATTAGCAATGGCGGAAAATCTAGTATCATTGTAAAGGTTTATTTGGGATTCATCTTTTATTTGGGAGTAAAGACACGTCCTGCAGCATATCTTTCTATACTATTCGTTTTATAGTTCATCTGTGAGAATCTGTGTGTGTGCATGTTTATCTGAGTGTCTGTTTCATTTTATGTTTTGCATGAATGTTGTAGCAGAGAACATATTTGTCCTTTTGGGATTGGCTTATTTCACTGAGCATAATGGTCTCTACTTGGGACCATTTTGTTGCAGATGGTAGAATTTCGTGTTATTGGGGTAGATGTACCGTGTTTTCTTTATCCATTCCTCTTTGCAGTGGGCATCTGGGCTGTTTCTCTGTTTTTGCAATTGTGGATGTGCTGCTATAAATACAGGGTTGCAGGTCAGTTTTTCATATGCAGATCTCACTTCCTTTGGATATATTCCCAGAAGTGGGATAACTGGGTCACACTGTAGATCCATCTTCAGTTGTCACTACCCTCTCCGTATGGACTTGTATAGTGGTTGCACTCCTACCAGCAATGGAATAGGGTACCTTTCTCCCTGCATTCACCGCGGCAGATGTTGTATTTCTGAATGTAGGCCAGTCTCGCTGGAGTTAGGTAAAACCTCAGTGTTGTTCTAAATCTGCACCTAGACACCATCAGACTAGTACAGGAAGTGCTCTGCATGGTAAAAACTTAGAAAAATCACCAAAAGCACAGCTAGTCAAAGCGAAAATAATAAATGAAATTACATCAAATTAAGCTTCTGTAAAAGGAAACTACCAACAAAACAAAGAAGCAACCAAAAGAACAGGAGAAAATTTTTGCTTGTTGTACAACAGATAGGAAATTATTTTTTAAGATTTATTTGTTTTTATTACAGAGTCAGATAGGC